TAAAATAAAATAGTGAAATAAAATAAAGTGAAATAAAATAAATTAAAATAAAATCATGAAATGAAATGAAATAAAATAAAATAAAGGAATGAAATTAAATGAGATGAAATGAAATAAAGTCAAATAGTGGAATGAAATGAAATAAAATAAATTAAAATAAAATAGAATAAAATAAAATAAAGGAATAAAATCAAATGAAATAAAATAAATTAAAATAAAATAGAATAAAATAAAATAAAGGAATAAAATCAAATGAAATGGTGGAATAAAATAAAATAACTTAAAATAAAATTACCATTTGATATTGTATTATATTACATTACATTATACTACATGATATTATATTATATTATATTATATTATATTATATTATATTATATTATATTATATTATATTATATTATATTATATTATATTACATTATATTATATTACATTATATTATATTATATTATATCCAATTATGGAATAGAATGAAATAAAATAAAATAATAAAATAAAATAAAAAAAAAATACTAAGTATATTAATATATCTTAAACTATGTATAATATAATAAATGTAATAAAATAAAATTAAATATAATAAAATAAAATTACATATAATTTAATGACATATAATGACATATAATGACATATAATGACATAATATAATATAATATAATATAATATAATATAATATAATATAATATAATATAATATAATATAATATATAATATAATATAATATCACACGGTATCACATGGTATTACATTGTATTATATTGTATTATATTGTATTACATTACATTATATTATATTGTATTACATTACATTATATTATATTACATTATATTACATTATATTATAATATAATTATAATATAATTATTATAATTATATTATCACCCTCTTTTCCTGTGGGCTCACGCGCTCCATGTTCCCGTGGGTGTTCCTGAACCAGAGCGGAACGTGCTCCTCGCTGATCTCCTCATCCCTGGAGGAAAAGAAATTCTCCAAGGTCTGCGACACCGTTTTCCCTCTCACAAACAGGGACTGGCCTTTGCAATTCCGAAGGAGGGAGCTGATGGAAAACACGGACATCTTGGAAAAGTTCAGCTTGCCTTTGTCTTTGTAGCTGGGGCAGAGGGGAGAAAAAACCAAAAAAAATTATGTTAAAACATACAAAAATCCTGGTTTTTTGTGAATTATCCATGGAAAAATTTGGATTTCTATCCCAGATCATCCTAAGAATGGAATCTCTTTAAATCTGCATGGATTCATCCTGGTGGAAGGCGAAATTTGTTGGTTTTATACGTTCTAGAGATGGAAAATTGAGCTCATCCCTGGAATTCCAGAGTGTTTGCAGAGCCAGGCAATGGCAATTCCCGCTTTTTCAAGGTCATGGATCATTTTCCTTCCTATCCCCAGCCTAAAAATGCCAGAATTGGATCCTTAAAACAGCTCAGGATAAGGAAATTGATTTTTTTATTAAATAATATACTGTATAATTATATATTGGTTGTTAACATTGTAATATTAATAAAATAATATTACATTATAATATAGTATCATATAATATCATTAATATAATTTAATGCAATATAATATACTATAATGTAATACAACATAATAAATATAATATAAAAATATAATATAATATAATATATAATTTATTTAATGTAATATAATGCAATATAATGGAATGTAATGGAATGCAATGGAATGCAATGGAATGCAATGGAATGTAATGGAATGTAATATATTTAATTTAACATATTTAATATAACATAATATAATTAAAATAAAGTAATATAATATAATACGTTATATTATAATATATTATAATACATTATAATGTAATAAAACATTATATTATATTATACTGCATTATACTATATTATATTATATTAATTTCATAATATTAATGTAATGTAATATAATATAATTTAATATAATATGACATAATATAGTTAATATAACATACAACATAATATCATAATATAGTATAATTTATATTGCATTAAATTATATTATATTAATCACACTACATTAATTACATTATTTATTATATATTATATATAAATAATATTGCATATATTACATATTATAATATATAACAGAATATATATGGTATATTTTATATAATATAAATTATATATATTTATTATTATATTAATTGTATTATGTTATATTATATTATGTTATATTATATTATATTATGTTATATTATATTATATTATATTAATTTCATAATATTAATGTAATGTAATATAATTTAATATAATATGACATAATATAGTTAATATAACATACAACATAATATCATAATATAGTATAATTTATATTGCATTAAATTATATTATATTAATCACACTACCTTAATTACATTATTTATTATATATTATATATAAATAATATTGCATATATTACATATTATAATATATAACAGAATATATATTGTATATTTTATATAAATTATATATATTTATTATTATATTAATTGCATTATGTTATATTATATTATATTATATTATATTATATTATATTATATTACATTATATTATATTGCATTGCATTATATTATATAACATTACATTGCATTATATTATATTACATTACATTACACCATATTATATTAATATAAATATATAACCATATAATAATAATTATAATTCCTGATTCCTCATCCTTTCCCTGCTTCCACCAAGGAATTTTAATTCCTTCTCACCATCTCCCAGCGCTTCCAAAAGCCAAGGAATGGAAAGTCTTGCAGGTGACATTCCTTGGAAAAACCTTTTTCCCCTTTTCCACCACAGCTCTGTTAAAAGCCAGGTAAAGGAATTTCAGCTTCGGGAATTTCTCCGCGTACTTGACCAAAGTCGAGGTTTTCCCTGTGCCTGGAGAGGAAAATCAGGAATATCCAGAGTCAGGAAGGAATAATTCCAGATTTTTATTTTTATTTTTATATTTATACCTGCCTGTCCCGCTGTTCCAACTCTAAAATTCCTCTTCACTCCTGATTTCAGGGAGTTATTTAGGTTGGAAAAGCTCTTTAAGGTCAAGCCCAAGCATTCCCAGCACTTCCAAGGCCACCCACATCCCCATCCAGAGGATTTTATGGAATAGGGATTCCATCCCTGCCTGGGGCATGGAGGAATTTTCCCAAAATCCATCCTAAAGCTTCCCTGGCCCAGCTTTATGAAGTGCCCACTCCAGCCTGGATCCCTTTTCCATGCGGTTGGTCCTTCAGGAATGGGCTCTTCCAACATGAATCCTGTTTTTCCACAGGGTCAGTTCTTCAGGAATGGATCCCTTTTCCATGGGCTCAGTTCTTCAGGAACTGCTCCAGCCTAGATCCCTTTTCCATGGGGTCATTTCTTCAGGAATGGATCCCATTTTCCTTGGGGTCAATTCTTCAGGAATGGATCCCATTTTCCATGGGGTCAGTTCTTCAGGAACTGCTCCTTTTTCCATGGGGTTGGTCCTTCAGGATTGGGCTTTTCCAACATGAATCCCTTTCTTCCGTGGGCTCAGTTCTTCAGGAATGGCTCCACCTTCCATGGGGTCGGTCCTTCAGGATTGGGCTCTTCCAGCCTGGATCCATTTTCCACGGGCTCAGCCTTTCAGGACCTGCTCCTCCTCCGGGGATTCCAGGGAAATCTCCACTCCAGCACCTGGAATCTCCCGTTCCTCCTTTCCCAGCCTTGGGATCTGCAGGGCTGTCCCACATTTCCCACTCCTCTCTCCCTGTTTTTATCCTGCCTCCATTTCCAGCAGATTTCCCTTCAGTTTCTTCTCCCAGAGGCACAAACGGGTCCCTTTGGAATCTGACAATCCCTTGGACAGAGGGATCAGGAAGGGAAGGAGCAGATTGGGAAATTTACCAGTAGTTTTTATGTATTTATATGTTTATTTTTAAAAATTTATTATTATTTTTGGCATTTTTTATATATGTTTTTATATATATATTATATATATAATATATGTGAGATATATTTAGTATTTTATATTGATATATATAATATGTATTTTATATATACTTTTATTTATATATAATACATGTGAGATATATATTTTATATTTATAGACAGTTTTATAAATACTTTTATATATATAATACATATATATATAAGATACATATGATATTTTTTATTTAGAAATATTTCAGAAATATTATATATAAATTTTATATATATAATATATGTGAGAAATATATTTTATATTTATATATATTTATAAATTTATATATATAAATATATATTATATATTATATGTAATATATAACACAATATATATTATATATATATTTTATATATTTTTATATGTATTATATATATGGAAGATATATTTTATATTTATGTATAGTTTTATATATATTTTTATATATATATAATACATATATTATATATATAATATGAAATATAGAGATATTTCATATTTAGAAATATTTTACATATATATTTTATATATATATTTTATATATAATATATGTGAGAGATATATTTTATATTTATATATATTTATAAATTTTAATATATATAAATATATTATATATATTATGTAATATATAATATGTGAGATATATTTTTATATATTTTATATATATTTTATATACATAATATATATGAGATAGATATTTTATATTTGTATATATTTTCAGATATTCTTTTATATATATTTTATATATATTATATGTATTACATATAATATATGTGAGATATATTTTATATTTATATATATTTAGATTTTTATTTATATTTTATATATATTTTATATATATTATATATGTGGGACATATTTTATATCTATATATATTTCATGCATTATATGTATATTATATATTATATATAATAAATGTGAGATATATATTTTGTATTTATAAATATATTTTAGATCTACTTTTATATATATTTTACATATATAATACATGTGATAAATATATAATATTTTATATTTATATATATTTTTATATTTATTTTATATCTATTGGGCTCTTACCTGCAAATGCCATGATTTTCACTGTCTGGCCAGGCTCGATTTTATGATTCAAAATCCTCTGCTGCTCATGGGTCAGTTTGACATCGGCCCATCCACTAAAAAACAGGGAAAAAATTCAAATTGGTGAGTAGGAAAGGAATGAAAAAATCCTTAAAATCCCTAGGAAAATCCCCCCAAAATTAGAAAAAATTAGGAAAAATCCCCCCAAAAATTCCAACGATTTCAAAATCCCTCAAAGAAAACCTCACATGTAAAACTAATTGTGGCTGCCCCTGGATCCCGGGAATGGCCAAGGAAGGGTTGGAGCAGCCTGGGATGGGGGGATTGGAATGGGATGGGATTGAAGGTCCCTGGATCCCATCCCAAAGCATTCCGGGATTCTGGGATTTGGGAGGCTCCGAATCCATGCCGAGGGATTTTTCTGGGAAATGGGGATGGGAAAGAGAGGGAAAGGGAAGGGAGAGCCTTGGTGGCTTCCTGAGATTGCAAGGGAAGGCCCTGGGTCCATCAATTCCTTGCAGAGGAGATGGATCCAATGTCAGGCTCTGGAGCCAGGCTGGGAGAGCTGGGAATGGTCTCCTGGAGAAGGGAAGGATCCAGGGAGAGCTTCCAGCACATTCCAGGGCCTGGAGGGGCTCCGGGAGAGCTGGAATTTGGGAAAGGCCTGGAGGGGCAGGAGCCAGGGAATGGCTCCAGATTGGAAAAGGGGAGATTGGGGTGGGATTTGGGAATTCCCAGAGCAGCTGTGGCTGCCCCAAATCCTGGGAATGTCCAAGTCCAGGCTCGATATTGGGGCTTGGAGCAGCCTGGGATGGAGGGAGATGACCCTGCCATGGCAGGGGGGGCACTGGATGATCTCAAACCATTACAAGATCCCAAACCATTCCCTGATCCCAAACCATTCCAAACCATTCCATGATCCAAAACCATTCCATGATCCCAAACCATTCCCTGATCCCAAGACAAACCCTGCACAGAATTAAACCCAGCAATTCCAAACTTCCAGCTTGAAGGGCCAATCCTGCTTTTCCTGGGAGAATTCCCGGGAATGTGCTGAGGAGCAGGAGGAGCTGTGGAGCTGTTCCATCTCCTCCTTTTCCTGCTGTGGAATTTTTGCTCCCAGGGAATGTTTGGAATTCCCTCAGGGCACTGCTGGGATACCTGGAACACAAATCCTCTCTTCCCTCTTCCGGAGGCTGAGCAATTCCAGAGGAATTTTCCATCAGATACAAACAGTAGAAAATATTGTAGTGAATCCTGGGACAAAAATAAAAATAAAGGGATAAATCAGGAATTACCACTGAGAAATCATTCAGGACAAATTAAACCTCTGCAGCCAATTATTTATTAATTATTATTAATTATTATTAGTTATTAATAATTATTATTATTAAGAGTTATTATTATTAAGAATTAGTATTATTAATTAATATTTATTTCTTTATTTACTAATTTTCCACTTGGATAATTAAAGAAATTTTAAAAAGCCTTGCAGGAAATGATGAAATAATTAACTTTTAATTAGTTTTAATAAATTTAATAAATTTAAGAATTAAATTTTTAAAATTAATTTTAATAAGGAGATGGAAAATCCAAAATCCCTGGATTTTGGTGCTGCTCAGGGCTGGACTTTGTGCAGGTGATCGACTTTATCCAGGAAAAACATTCCAAAGAAAATTCCCAATTTCCCTCAGGAAAAATTCCCAATTTTCCTCAGGAAGAAGAGGATGAACCTTTCCAAAGAAAATTCCCAATTTCCCTCAGGAAGCAG